ACGGATGACAGCTGCGTATGGCTTAATTTCTTATCTGGTGATTCACTTCCAGAGACAGTTGTAAACACTGTAACTGCCTCGAGGGTGCTTGACCATTTTAATATGATGTGGTGCGATCATCCCCCTTGCGCGGAGTGAGGGTTCTCCACCCCGCACAACATGATCTACTCGACCACCATTATGGTTACCGGCAAAAAATAACACCGGAGGATAAAAAAAAAAACGGTGACCAGGTTGCCGAGTTCACGAAGTGAATTGGCTTGTCTTACGACGTCGTTGCCAAGAGACGAAAACCCGATCCCGATGGCAAACACCGAGGGGGGGCTTGTTTTTCAACGTCGTTGCCAAGCGACGAAAACCCAACCCCGATGGCAAACACCATGGGGCGGCGGCTTGTTTTACAACGTCGTTGCCAAGCGACGAAAACCCTACCCCAATGGCAAACACCGGAGGGGAGGCTTGGGGGCGGGAGAAACATTTGCCTTGTGTCCTTCCGCGATTGGCCGTTTCTTGTTGTGTTACCGCACCGTACTGTGCTACCGCACCGTACGATACAGTGTTGCCGTACCGTATAGCCGCGCGCACGAAAATATTGACGCCGGAGAACGCGGTGGTGGTCGAGTAGCAGAGTGCTGCCCTTGCGGCGATGCCTACACTTGCCTGCTTCGCTCATGTTTGAGTTCAACCTGTTCTCCTAGTGTTTTCAGCCCTCTCTCGGCCATCTAGACTTGTTTTCTTCAGCAATGAGAGCACGTTATCCCGCGCACAAACATCTCTGCCTTACACGTGCCTACACATACCAATAGTCTAGGTGTGATCATGGAAGTATTATAACCATGTCTGCCGGAAGCAAAAATATTCGTCTCTCTGCCTGTTTCTTTTTTCGCTTGATATTTTTCAGTTGGTCTCGATCGACAGGGTGAACTTTAGCGTCGAGGCGATGGTGACGGCAAAGGCGACATCGCTCAAGGTGCGTACTTCCCCTTTCTTTTTCGGTGTTTTGTCATGACTCTACATGTTTTGTTTTGTACCACATATTTGCGTACTTCAGCTTCCTTTCGGTATGTTTTAGAGCCTCTTTTTTTTTTTTTTCCACAAACTA